TACCAAATGGACATAAAATAAAATTTAGGAAGCTACCCTATTCTATTTATTCACGAGACTTGAACTATTTAAACAGTTCCTAAAGTAACTAAAGTTCTTGTAGATACGTATTGTTCAATTGCTTTTTTATGGAATAGTTGGCAAACAAGCAGACTGATCACCTGATGATAAGCGATCAGAGCCGCCCATGGCAACACCAGAAAAATCACAGGTGCGTAGACGGACATTGAAAAAGAATACGCTCTTTTATTGAAATAGAATATGTTTTGACTTTGACCTATATACAGAAGTGGATGGAAAACTGACTGACGATATTGATAGTTAATTAATAGAAGAAAGAAATCAATCTTTATTTCACGCTAAAAAACAAGTGACATGTACAGATGTATTGTTTTATTAGTAGGTATTGATAGATACATGTTTATTTCCCCAGTCTGCCGTGAAATGGTATGGTAATCAACAGTCATCAATCTTTTCATACATGCTCGTCGGTTAAGACCTACTTTTAATTTGGCCTTTCTTTAATATATCACCAATCTGATCGATATTCTCTCTCTCTAGGGCGCCATCCACCGATGGTCCCATTCATATTCGCACTCTATATACTTCTTTCTCTATTTCTACTCTATTTTCGTCTACCATTTCTACATGTCCAAACCAGCGTAACATTCTCTTTTCAATCCTTGTCACTATCACTATATCGTCTTCCAATCCTCTTTTTTGGAGCGAAAGAGGTATGCAAGTATCTTATGAATTGGTGTTCCATAGTCTTTTCTTTTACCCCATGGGAGGCAGGCGTGAGGTTATTTATGTATTTCAATCAAACTCTTAACAAATGTATGGCAATATCTACATTCATCCTGCATTATAGCCCGCTCTCATTCCCCAAAGATTCATGGCATGGTAATGACGTCTCCCCCAATCGTTGGCTGGTTGCCATCACCAACCATTAGCATTTTATTTCCTAGAGTCAGGGTCATTGCCAACCGAATAGGAAGTCATTAATATTAGTGTTACAAGTTTTAAGTAACAGCAAGAGGAAATATGGACTAAGTGACAGGTTGCGAGGTGTTTTGAACGCGATCTTGGTAAATAGAGTTAAAAATAGACCCGTTTACCAGTTTATATCTAAGTTTTTAATAGTATTGGTGGTTTTGTCATCTTTATTGCAAGTTCTGGATTTTGTAATCCATGTTATTGATGTTATAAATGTATTTCCATAGATTATTTTGTCTGATTTAACTTTATGGAAGTAAATTTGCATACAGTTTTAACTTTTTAGTAAACTGACCGATATTTTTAGATCATAGGTATATCATTTTACGTTCCAAATGTTCTTTATATTGGTATTAGAATTGGCCAAACTAAATTATTACTCTATTTTTGACATTCATTTCAAAACAATGATATTGCATTTCGCCGTAACTGTACCCATTTCATGTCATAGCAGCTGGCACAATCGCGTTGACATTTTGATTTTGATTGAGGCGTAGTTTGGAAACAGGAGAAGGACCATTGCCAAGATACATGTATACGATCCCTATGCCCATTAAAATAAATTAGATTATCTATTAAAAACTTTTGGGTTCTTTCAGGCTTGCCTTGAAAACCACATTGTCAAAAATTGAATTCCCTTAAGATCCTTCATAACAAATTTTTTTCAAACTTACAAACATCACATTAAAATATCGTTGGCAAAGTGACTGTCAGGCGAACGACATTTGCAACCTCTTGGGAAATTATCGGATAGCTCCTTATAGCTTGCGATCTGTTTTTGCATATTTACTTGAGTATATTTTACAAAGAAATTCACAGGATAATACATACAATTATTTTAAAGACACAAAAAGGTAATTGTTTATTTGCTAAAGGAAAACATCGGGAGGAAATCTGGACGTATCATTTCAAATTATAAGTTTGTAAAGCAATTCCAAATTTATTGTAGTATTTATGCAGTAGGTATAAGTATTTGTTTAGTAGTATGTATTATATGGTATGTATATGTCTATACTGATTTATAAAATATTGTATTAATATATTTATTCTATAGGTTATTTATGTGTGTAGTATACATATTACATAACTTTATTTTATTTTTTCAATTGTGTTCTGGCTTCGCATCAACCACTTCATTTCTCTGCACTTCCCTATGGTTGACTGTAAGAGAATGCCTTAAGGCATTAAGTCCGCCATTCACTGATGTATTTTGTGAAGAAGAAATAAATAAATAAATAAATAAAGCGAATTGGTGATTCTAGCCAATCCGCCTTGTTGTTCAAGGCAGATTGGCTACTAGAGTGGTTATAAATGCTTATTTCTTCTCCGTTTGAGAAGAATTCTTAGCTTAGTAAAGATAATTACAGGCGGATGTTTATAATTACTATTTAAAACGTTTTATATCTAATCTCTAACCATTCTATTCTTTCAACTTAAACAATTCATTCACCGTTTCAACATCTCCCCTACCTTACGTTAAGTCGTCGGTCGCAGTTGTCGTGCGAACCGTCCAGAAAGTTTATTCTCCTCTCCACCTACATTCTAATTAATAGAAGTGGCCGGGTACATTTCTCGGTAGTTCCCTTAAATCTTCATTAGTTAAAAAACTTTTTATTTTATGAGACAGCTCTTCAAATTGAACAGGCTCAACTTTGAGGGGTTGTGACCTAATAAGAGCCTGTTGTTCAGCTCCCTTTGGGATTAAGATGGTTGCTGTTCGCCGTTTAGTTGACAATTAACTGAGTTCTTTCACAATTGCCGCCATTTTCTTATTTTGCAAAGTCAAGAAAACACGTAGAGAATTCCTGCCTTATCGATTTTATTTGAACGGCTTATAGACAACGACGAAAATATCGTAGTAAGTTGCAAGACATGCAGGTTCCTTTGGGAGAATAGGGGAGTACTCAGAGAGGATGCCTCTTAATTCTTAGGGGAATTTGAAAAACAGATTCTTTACCTATGTGTACATGAAGCCGCAGATATTATGTAAAAATAGACAAAATTAAACTAACGCCAGGCCCTAGGTCTCGCGAGGTTTTGATAATTAATCCCTAAACCTTTCAAAAGCAATTTTAATAGAGGATTTATCAATTGGGTCCCACATTTATCAATATTAAAGGTTTTCCAATTAGTCTAGCTCTATAATGATCTGGTCAACTACTTAGTAGTTTCACGAATATAATAATATGTCGAGGAAAGCGTAATTTTTCTGGAATTCGAAAATCTTAAGAATAATTTACCTTCTTCTCATAGCAAAGTAAGAGTTCGTACTCAACAGTCGCACTGTTCCCCATCAATTTGCAAAACAGCATTAAGAAAAACTGTACAAAACTGCCGTATTTGAGATTTTTATGGGTTCTATGTATGGGGAAAATAAATTGTTGTTGGAGCGTGGTCTGCAAGTAAATCTTGTTGGCAATAAAATAAGCGCCCATGTGTGGGTTTATCATCGGGACAGAGATATTGCAACGTTGACTAATTCGGGTTATAAACATTCTACGGTACCTTACGTCAGCTTTGAGGATGTTCACTGAGATTATGACATCAGAGGACACATAATGAGCTTGCTAGATTTATGTGTAGGATGAGGTAAACGAAGAGATAGATTGGAGTTTGTGAGCAGAACCCATTTATGGTCAACATTTTGAGAAGATAAGACAGAGATGACAAGAAAATAGTCATAGAATCAAGAATAGAAGAGGGGTACATAAAGATAAAAACAATTATAAGCATTAATCAAAAGATTAATTCAAAATATTATGATGTTTTTAAAGTATATACATACGTACCAACAATTATTGTTGATGGAGGATTCGAGGGTTTTATAATGCTATACAGCAGAATCTAGATTCCTTATTTAAAATCAATGTAAGGAATTCTGTGTGAAATGGATTCGAATTTAAGTAATGCGACAAACAAACTCTTTCAAAGATGTGTTTATGTCAGCCAAACAAGACAGCAGGAACACATTACTGTTTCGTAAAGCCGACCCAATTACGAAATGACGACAAGAATGTAATGAACTTTTTATTTTCCGGAAAAATCTTGCCCACAATCTCTACTTTTTTATGAAAACGATTCCAACAAAGAAAGCATTTTTTTCGACTACTTCAAAAAATGGACCGAAGTAAAAGAACAGCCTGCAGGTCAAAAACATGAATGACATACCTTTCTCAAGTTGAGGAAAAAGGTAATATTTTCCTCTTTTAAATAAACAAGTCCTGATTCAAAATGGTGAGAATAACAGGAGTAATGACGTACGGACGGTAGAAAACGAGATCATTTGCATTCAAGTCTCTCTTGGAGTCCGATTTTGGCGCGGTCATCAACCATTTACAGCGATACTATTTCGTGAGCTGATCCGATGTGATTTATTTAAGGACCCTGAAGATTGGTAGAATCGTAGGAAATTTTCGTCAATGTTACAATGCTCCAAAATGTCCCTTTTCCAAATGCAGACATTTAAAATTCTCTCCGTAAAACACGTTGGATTACATTTGGTAAGCATCCCACTAAGTCCCTACATTATGTATGAACGTGTTCACGTAATTTTTCCTCTGTGACCCAAATATGTGAGGGAAAATAAAGAAACTCCGTCTCAAGTCTCGAGAAAAGAAACTACGTGAAAGAATATGGAAAAGAAAACCTTTTGTTTGTGATCGGAACACAGCGCTATTGACGTTCGTCAGCGAGTGAACATTTCTTGTTTTTTGGGTACCTAATAACACGCGAAAAAGTAGAATATATTTTTTTATCTTATCTCATACGAATGTAATAACAATTTCCTTTAAAAGTAAAACGTTGCTATAAAACGCAAATTGCTGTTACCAAATTACTTACGGAATGAAAAAATAAACAAATAAATGACGTTTATAAAAATCCTAAATGATCTGTTCGTGATGAGATCAGACTCTGTAAAATATTAAAAGTCTGGAAAATATTACGTTCATTGTAGACAATTTATATTCCTGAATATATCGATTTGTAATAAGTGGAAAACTCACCGAAAACAATGTTGAAACGAATCTGTTTCAGCCGGACAGCATCGGAGGACCGCCGATTTCGATGCTAAACCCCAAATCGAGTGGAACCACTGTCAAAATTATGTTACATTCACTGGCTTTTATTCATTTTATTATTTTTAGTGGCACGATCGTGGGCCGCGTGCGTCTCGCGTGAACCCTGGCGCGGTACTGGCGAAATGGCGGGAATCGTGACATGCGCCCTGGGAAATCGATGCCGAATTTCATGCGTTATCTGTGGTCCCACATTACGTTTGAAATTTTTCGTGTGTTCAGCTGTTTTTCCCTTTTTTGTCGATTTTTTGTCACGTTGTCGTTGTTTGCATAAGGGATTAGGATTTGTTCGACGAGGCGAATGGAATAAAAGCGAGATAAAAAATGCAAGCCGGCTGTTCACGGCGGTGGAAGTGTTCACACTTCGCTGAAACTTTGATATGCCTTTTATGGTTTTGTTGCGAGCACTTTTACTCTGTATGGGAGTTTTTAAATTGGATTGTGAGCATATTTCGATTTCATGTTTTGTTTCTTTTATTTTTCTCGAATTCGGGTCGATTCATATTTATTTCGTTACATTACTTGCTTTCTTTTCGTATGTGCTGGTTTACAGGAGAACATTTGCAAAAACATAAACTAGGTAACAAGAAAATAAACATCATTGTGAACTTTTTATAATAACTATCGTGAGACATACTAAATTAACTAAAAATCGCGAGTTACTCACGTGAATATACTGAGAAAAGCTCTACTAGTTCCGAGACAGAGGGGTTCTTTCTCATGAGCAGCGTGCGCGGTCTAAGTTCCTGCAGGCGGCTGCTGCTGGCTGGTTCGAAACTAGTAGTTTTTCTTAGTATATTCACTTAATAACACCCCGTGATTTTTAGTTCATTGTAAACATTGAAAAAATGTAATTAAAGCTCAATTTTATTTAACAAATAACCAAAAGACATTGTTTCACATTTAAAATGGTTCCAGCATAGCATAGTACACAAATATACAGCATGTTCCATTTTTATCAGCCTTGTCCTACAAAAAAGTCTTAGCTCCTAAATTCAGGTAAAAATTGTGTGAAATAAAACTCTTTGAATTGAAATTCATATTGTATTTATTTATTGTTTAATATGCATACTCAGCTCACAGCGACTACGGTTCTAATGGAAGATATAACGTAGTACACGTAACTGCATAGTCTGCGCTGCATCTGAGAATTTGACAACGATTTGACGCACTTCATAAATTTCCCGATTTCAATTAACATGTTTTCTTTAGAGACCAGTCAACTGTTTGACTAAAAGAAATTAAATAATTTTCTGCCAACTTCTAAAGTGACGTAGAAAATAAAATGTTTAAAAATGGGTTTTTAATATCGTTAATTCATTATGATACAGTGTAAATTATGTAACAACTTTTCACGTCAATACATTTGAAATTTAACTTTACATTTTAGTCAGATGTGTTGATCAATAAAGAGGTAAGTCTATGCCAGCAACAAAAGTAATCCATACTTCATTAAAAATCTAATACTTCAAAAAATACCTTTGGAAAGCCCCTTCAAAAAATTATCTAATCAAATGCAACGCAGACCATAGTAAATATAATTTATAATGAATAAATTACAATTAAAACTATAATGCGATTACATTACAACAATAGAGTGGCCCATACTTGCGGCTCGAGACAAAACTTTCAACACTTTCCACTTCACGTCAACAGATGGCGCTTTAATCAAAAACAAACTACACTCGCTGGCAAATAAATTGGCATACCATTTAGTAATCGGTGGGCAGTACACATCGGGCCGAAATTATTGGCCACCGGGAACATAATAAAACGAAACCTCCTTTTTACTCAAAGTCGGTTAGTTAATGTCATCTCCCAGCCAAGATACATTTTTTCTTTTAAATTATAATCTCAACTATTGTAACGGCTATGATATAGTACATATATAACTATCTATATTATAAATGTGATCACACTTAACATCTTCGGTTTACAAATAAAAAGGGATTAACACTTAAACATTATCTAATTTTTTTTATATTACACTTTCTTATAGTCCAACAGATCATTCGGTTCTACTAAATTCACCTATAATAATATTGGTAAACAGTTGTTTTTTTATTTTTTTACATGTACAAATAAATACTCGAGTCTATAAACATTATTATCTACTATAGCTATGTATTTATTTAACTACGTAAAACATAAAAGTTATTTATATAAAAAGATGTTTTTATTTATAAATGAAAAGGTTAGAGAGTATAATTGTTCGCGGTCTATTTAGGGCGTGACGTCACACTCGTGACGCAGTGAGAACGGATTGTAAAGAGCTACGGAATTCAATCGTGTAATGTTGTGGTAGACGACAAAAATCGAATAACATCGTTTTCCACTATTAAAAAGTTTCACTCAACAGTAAATCAAAGTTACCCTGTTCGAAGACATTGTATATCTTAAAAATTGTGTCCTCAGCCTTTATAATGATATCATTTTGTTACCAATTTTTTTTTTATTGATTCCGACGGATAATACTCACCTACAGATCTTCAAAAACTTATATTTATCAATACTAATATTATAAAAAAAATGTATTGAACACAAAGAAAAACTAATAAATAAAATTATATTCTAAGAACAGTCTAACAAAAACACTTTTTTAAAATAACCTTTTAAACATTGCAGATGACATTATCCGTCGAAGTGTAATCACTAATTTGCTAAGGGATCTATGTATTACAGGGTTTTTAAACCAATACCAACCAAAATTTAAAGGAAATAAAGTCGAAATTAAATTCTACGTCAACGTTTGGGAGTTAGACGGACACCGGTGTCGATTTTCATCTATTACCTTTTCATACATATTTACTTTTTGCGCAAAATTATCTTATTATGTCCTATGAAATTTGTTTTTCTAAGGAACTATGAGGATTGGCAATTTTAAATATATTTTTATGAAATTTCTGTTAAATTAAAAATAGTAACAAAATAATTTTGCGCGTCTCACTAACACCTTACACTAGGGATGAATATATTTAATATTTTTAATTAAAAAATCATCGAGATTGGAATTTTACTTTACGATTTATTAATTATTATTTAATAATTAGTTTATTTATTAATAGAATACACCTACACAGTAGGAAAGTTAAACGGAAATGTTTATAAGTCTAGCGTACGATAGGAATATTTTTATGTCCATTTACGTCTTGAGTGAAGGGCATCACACGACACATCGATATCGATAAAAATACGCCAAAGGCCAGTTTTAAAACCTGAGCTAGGTAAAGTTCAGCAAGACGTCATTTAAGCACCACAATGATTACAGAAACCAGAAGAGATCCGACGTCATTGTCAAATACATTTATGTGACGTTTTTTTTTTATTAAATTGCCTCACTCTATGATTTTCTCCATTGTCGTGGGTGCGTTTACAAACATACAATTTCACACACATACAAACGCTTCCGAAAAACTATGAAAATCATAAATAATGATAATTTTTGTTAATTAAACGCGTACCCCTTCACTCAGGACAAACAAAAAATATCGAATCTTACTTAACACATTACAATATTGGAGAATGTATTCGAGACGAAACAAATGCATAGTACACCAAATTAATTGGTTCACAGATCGAACGGGAACGTAAATACGGTAGAATACATACATACTTACAAACTACGTAATATTCTTTAAATTTAACGCTTTCAAAGAACATTTTTTTTATCGAAGCTTTTTTAATATTGTTTTTTTTAAAATCCCTCAAGGGACCGATGAGGCGTTGAATTAGCCGACAGTTTTTAATTCATATTTTAATATTAATTAGGGAATATTTCAATATACACACATATAGTATATTAAGACATGGCACGGCCTGTCACTTCATTGGAACTATCAGGCGATTATCGAAACCAAGAGTCATTTAGTTCATTTTTTTTTAATTCGGTATTTCACCGGGCAACCAGTTTTATTACTTCTTACACAATAATACAATATTAAAAATCTACATTTAAAATATACATTAAATTATTTATTTTTGGCATTGAATCGCGTTGTCACACGATTATCGAACGTATTTACATAGATATAGGGGTGGGTCGACATCACTGACTCGAATTGACTCAAAAACTATCAATAATCATAGACTTGGTTTGATAATGTCGTTATGTTAAATCTAAGGGGTGGAAAAACACGGATTGCATAAAAAATGGAGTAACTTGAATACGCTGTCAAACTTTTTGACACTCGCTTATGTCAGTGAGCGTACTTAGTTAGCACTCCATTTATTAATTCATCTTTGATATTCCTACAAAATGTTGGAAAACTGAATTAAATATTGCGATGCCCGATCTCACCAACCTCTCCTAAATTTTAAGGAACCCATACACTCAGATAGTAGCCGTACAAGTAAGGAGTTAAGTTACGGTCACGCTAAGTAACTTTTACTTAAGAGATGATTTAGGGGTGGTTGTTGAAGTGGTTAAAACAGTATTGTAAGCACCGGTTCAGTACAAATCTTGTCGTGTTCCTACTAATGTGTTTGGCGTACAATTTGGTGTCTATTGAAAGATATTTGGCTAAACAATCGGAGTCACTACTTGAAGTCTTTACAGCGGAATTATTTTGATGATTATTTGCCAATATGTACAGTTATACAAAATGAAATAGATTAAAAAAAATTGTGTACAGAGAACGAGTGTCGCTTAATAAAAAGTATTATTAATTTGATTCGGAATTAAAAATGATATATTAATAAAAATAATGTTTAAATACACGTTAACAATCCCATTTTGAACATGGGTAAGTTACGAACTTTCATATTAACAAAGATGAGAATTAAACAAGTCGAGTACTTACTTCCCAGTGACTTGAACTCGACACTTAGACATTACAAACTTCAACACGTCGCCTTCAGACCATGACACGACTTCCAAAAGATTCCACCAGTATATAATCACCATTCAATTTCATACATCGCTACCTACACGCCTCAAAATGCCGTACGAAAACCACTTTTCCTTTCACAGCCCAAAACTTTGTCAAACAAGTTCTTGCTACGCGAAAACCATCTTTATATTTAAACATGACAGAAGGTTGATATTCCTGTGACGAATGAATGATCTTCAATTCGGATTATAGTACGAACATAGCTCTAATATCGATGTAAACGTTTCGATATAATAGACTTAAAAGACACTATGCATATCGATTAAACTTACATTCGTAATCGATTTATATCGATGAGATCGAGAAGAAATTGTCACTTTATTTAAATGAAAAATGTTGTGAATTATGAATTTGAGTTTGATGCCACAGTGTGATGAGATCTGATAATACTGTATAGCACATAAACGGGTAGGCAGAGGCGCGATTACATTATCCAAACCCTCTTCTCCTATATGATTCTAATGTGGTGTAAGTTCATAAAGAAGTCAGATAGTAGTGGTCTATATCCTTCACTAGCGCTAACTCATTATGACTCAACCAAGACCCTTCATGATAGCGTTAAGTTTAAACTTGTATTCGCACCTCTCAATATAGGAGTTGATTTTAAGATACTGTGGCATTGTACTCTTATAACAATTATTGATTTTCTTGTGATAAATATTAAATTAATTATCGTTTACAGCTTACTCACGTAATTGTTGTAAAGGGTAACTCAACGTTTTAACTCAAACTGAGGACTCATAGTCACGACCAGCTTCCTCAAACAGTTACGTGAATAAGCCATAATTAAGTTTTCATTCTAATGACATCTTAAAACAAAAATGACACCGTAATGACACCGTTTTGAAAAATGACAAGATCAATGACAACACTTGGTACCGGTGAAACGAATAATAGTGATGTGCCCTAACGTTAAATAAAATTATCGATGAGCTAACCACGAAGGGAGCGTCGGTTGTTGCACCATTTATTTATATTATAATCGCAATTACATTGCATTTTCAAGTAAAGATTTTAAGCAATAACATACATCTCTTAATTTACAAAGAACATTGGAATAATGAAGGAAATCAAGTCATTACTTATAATTATTTATACTGTTAAACTGAAACGAAGAAGCTAATTTTAGAGACAAGAAATAATTACAACAAGGCATCAATGTGTGGTTTGTATACACTTCAAAATCTCACACCAGATTTAACAGGGGTATTTCCTTAGAAACAAAACTAGACACATTAATACATCTTATAATTGCGTTTACAAAACACAACTACGTATAAAATATCCACAAAGTATACCATACCACAACATTTGACATCGAAGAATATAAACTAGTACATTGACGCCAAAAAAACTGAAAAGCCAACCGACTCTCCCCTTTTATATAAAAAGGAAAAATTTAAAAGAACTCGTGCACCTTGCGAAATACCGAGAGCACTCTTCATTTCTTGGTTTTCACCGTCACGTAGGCTGGCTCCGGCGCACGCAGCAGTAGCGGGAGGCGACGGTCGCGGGGCTCGCGGGGCTCGCGGGGCTCACGGGGCTCGCGGGGTTCGCGGGGCTCGCGGGGCTCACGAGGGTCGCGGGGCTCGCGGGGCTCCCTGTGCGGGACGGCGTACTGCGGCGGTGCGGGGGCGGCCAGCGCAGCCGCGGCCGCGTCTCATGTGTGCAACGCTGAGTTTATCTCGCGGTGGATTGTGCTCTGTAGTTGAGAGGGAATTGGGATTTTAGGATGAGTCAAAATGTTAGGCGAAGTTGAAAAAGCTTATTGGTGAATGAAGGTTTTTGAATTACTACTCAGTAGTTAGCGTTCTTGTGTTAGCCAAGATTACACTAGGGAACAAAATATGTCCCACGACATGTTAAGCGATATCTGCCGATTTCATCCGACATATTATAAAGCGAGAACGCGATTATTGTCCACAGCGATGTTGATGGTGCAACGTCGCTCTACTTCACCGAACACCGCTGACGACACAAGTCGCAGGATATTTGTCCCCTAGTGTATCCTTGGCTTCAGGCTTGACGTTAGGTCGTATTCATTCAATGAGTTTAAGTACTTAGAGTAACAACTTTTGAGTAATCTACAAACTTCGAAGTAACTTAAGATGAGCAAACATTCTACAGGCTAGATTAACGCCTTTTGTTACACTAGCACTACGAGAAAACGAATTCAATCTTAATTAATATAATGTTAAAATACAATTTACAATGTCATAACAACCACCAATACTGTGATAGTTATGTATTACATGAAAGTAACTAACTCTCATTCAAATATCACATTTAATCCTGCTACTTTAAGGTACATTTTAGTATAAAACTTACCAGCTCATCAAGTTGCCGCGCCAGTTGGTCGTTGAGTGCCTGTATGACCTGTCGTTGTCCGTCCTGAGCGGCGAGAGCCAATTCCAGCTGACTTTGAGCGAGTTTAGCCTCTGCGTCCTGGGGAATTAGGTTCAGTTTCTTTTGATATCATGTGTGTTTTAGACAGAAATTAACGTTTAAATTATACTTAATATTTTTAATGTATGTTAATGTATCCCAACTAATATAAAAAATCCAAAACTATGTTTGTTACCTTTTTTAAGCTTTATCTACTCAATCTTGTAGAAAGCATACATGCATACGGCGAATGATATACTACTAATTTAGACGGGGAAAACCGCAGGTTAAAGTATTCCAATGAACCTCAAAATACATGCAATTAAATTCTACTAGTTAGAAGCAGTATGGGGTGGAAGTAGATGACAACAATCATCCAACAATTATCCAAATAGGATAGGAGAAATAAAGAAGAATCGTGAAAAAAAATCATTTTTTAGACTCAATTTAAACTTTATTACCTACGTCATAATACTCACCTTAAATAAGCAAAGAACTTGAACTTTCCAAGACCACATAGATTTCTTTAATCCACTTTAAAACATATGTTGTTCTAAATCACGATACAAGACTAAAACAACATTCAACGGGGGCTATCGTTTTCTTGGCGCTAGTGTGACCCTCTCGATTTCGTCCAATAGGGAAATAGCAAGTGTCACGCTATTGGACTTGACAGCTGCAGTGATTGGACCAAAAATCTCTTGCTACATTTTGCGTCATCTAGTGACCAGAAAACGATAGCACACATTGTTTCAACAAAAAATAAAAATTAGAGAGAAATAGAAAGGAATAAGGACAGAAAATAAAAAAGAAAGGAAAGTATAGAGTAATAATTTATTTGTTAGTAAAAACGTAATAAATAACAAGATTAGTAGCAAACTTAGATAAAGGTATTAATTAACATTAATTTACTAATAAATACATTCATGCACCTCACATAATATTATATACAAATAATAAATTAGGCATTCAACAATACTTATAAAATGTTATTAAAAGTAAACAAAAAATAAACTACATATCGAAGTATTTTGAATGACCATGCTATTTAAATACTATCCTTAGTTTTTACAATGAGAGACCATTAAGCATTGGACATTGTCCAGGGTTTTCCATATTATACACGATTTACACACAAAAATATTATTTATTTCGTGTCATCAAAATCACTTCGATATAACAGAAGCATGCTTTTCGCAACACTACACAACACAGAGTATAAAGCAAATGGAATACTATAATTTTTACATTATTTCGTGAAATATTATTTTCACATATACTGCTCAGTATTTGTTTCATAAAATGTATGGGAAACGTGCATTCCATTCGTTCTCTACTCCATGTCAATACTACAAAAACTTTGAGACGAAATAATTACCAAATTTATTGAAATTTCTTACTTATTTCACCTGGAATAGGATTGAAATTTGAACAGTTCTACAATTTAAGTGACGACCTATCGTCAAATATAGTATTGGAATTACTTTAGCTAGCAGAATTTACAATTTTTGACCCTGATGCACTACACATTGTTGGCAAATTTATTTAATAAACAACTAAACCTACTAATTTAGTTGGTAATAAGTAATTAAAAAAATGACGTTATTGAAAACCGACATTCTTCAAATTTATTATGAATCAATGTTAAAGAAGAACGCACACAGAAGATTGACTAGGGACCAAAAAGAAGATTTAAGCAATGTAATTATCTCGTCTCCTCTATCTAGTTCTACAAGATCACCATCAAACAGCCGAGCCGTAGTAGTAGTCGTAGTTATAATATGTACTGTAACCAACCTGTTCGCTCTTCTTGGACTTTGTGATCTGGGCTAGCTCCTCGTTCTTCTGAGCTAGTTCAGCCTCTAATTGGGCGACACGCTGGCGAAGCTGTTCCACTTCGTTGGCTTCCGCGCCTGTAATGATATGGTACATTATGTTGATTTGTGTCGTGTGCTGACGGCAAAGAAAAGTACTTTTATCATCACTTCTAACTCTTCGCCGTAGAGGTCAAATAAGGGACTGTACACAGGTTCTGATACACTTCATTGCGGGAACTAAGACACCATATCCCTGGGACGCGCCGGTCTTCAGTGTTCCGGTGTTTTCATGATTGTATCTACTGTAGATCCAGGCTTACAGGAGTTGCAGCGGTTTTGGAAGGTTGAGGCGGGCTTGTCCCATTTAAAAAAAAAGGACTGTGCATTAGACAAATATGATAGTAGCCCTTTAATATATTTGCCCCTTTTGCGACTACCTACAATCACTAACCAACTATGTTAAGCGAAGAGATTATGAAGAGGAGGTTATAGTGGGACAGTGGACTATCGGACTCTTCTTATTATATGCTATGAAATTCTTTGATGGACATTTACGAACGGTAAGTTCCGTGTCAGAGAATTAAATAGTCGTAGTGGTGCATATGTACCTTTAAACTAAACAATTGCCGATTCGGTATCATTGAAAACTACAACCAGTCATAAATGGACGAACAGCAGCTTAATTTTAAGAACCAACTGCTCCCGAAATCGCCTGCCATTTGAGATTATGGCACAGCCTAAGGTCGACAAGAATGCATTTGGCATCAACAGGGCATAATTATGATGATGGCACAGCACAATACATGCATAATCAGACATTCCATCAGCAGTCACGCCTACCTTTACCAGCGTAGTGTCTGGCGCGGGCCACCTCCTCTCGATACTGGTGCAGCTGCCGCTTCCACTCGTCCACGTTGGCTGTGCTCTCCTGCAGCGCGGCCGTCAGTCGAAGGTTGTTACTCTTCAATGTAGCTAGCTCCACCTCCCATTTTTTGGCATTCGCTGAACTGTGGGAGGAAGATTGATTCTCTTAGTACTTTTATTATTGAATGTCAAATCAAGCGTCTAAAATTGGTCATTAGTTACTGTAAAGATCTTAGTTGTAAACAATGTCTTCTTAACAAATTTGGCGTACTTATAATTGTTTCTACGTCAATTTTGTCGACAATAACGCTGAGTTATAAGAGTCCCTTCTTATTGTATGCCAAAGAACTGTTTGGCTAATGTCTCGTGGAAGACAAAAAATCCTCCCTCCATTCACGCAGTACCATCTACGATGCCTAATGAGGTGTACCGTAATCAACTTATAACAGCTTTGTTCAACATCTATATCAAATCGAACCACCACATAATCTTAAAAAGTACCGTACCAAAAAGGCTATCAAAATCACCTACCGATAACACTTAAAACTACAATATCATGAACAGAAGAAAAACTCCATCAACTGAAGTGTTTAGGTAAATACAAAGGGGAAAATCTCCCGGGTATATTTGACCAACAGTTTCAGACCCGTAATTCAATAGTGATGTGCCTTTCGCAAGCAAATACACATATCTATATATACGTTTTGTGTGTAAAAAGTGTGTGTACGTGTATTTCCAATTCTTTCCCGCGAGATGGGTCGTTAATCTTAGTTGTGGGCCGCACGAATGTTATTCTCGTTACACGAATACACGATAGCTACTGGGATATATTGCGTGCTCGTATATTGTGCTTCATCAAACTGCTGTTTTTGTGCTATAATCATTTTTAAAACTTTTAGGTGTATAATTGAAAGTGTATATGAATTAAGTTGATCTAATTAGAGCCTATAAATATGTTCCATTTTTAATTTTGGCCTGCCTCGTTGGCCGAGTAAGCGACTGAGCGGCAAGGGGTATCGGGTTCGAATCCCGGGTCGGGCAATGTAATGCCAGGGTTGTTTGAAAAAAATATCATTAATAACAGAGTCTGGAATTGTGTATATGACAATAAGCTCACCCCCTATTACACGAGACTCTTAAAATAAATAGTGAAAAGTGGGTGTTACATTGTACAATGGCATTAAGTGCCGTAATGTCCACCTCCACCTACCTTTTCGGAAATAGAAGGTGTGATGTGATGTTATGTTATGTTATTTAACTAATTCTCTTACGTTGTTTGAACGATCTGGGCCTTCAACCAAACGCCACTTTAGCGCTTGTCTACAGAGAGAGTAGAAATCAAAATGTATGGGGATGACACTGACAAGTGTCAAAATTTACGTCAATTCCATATCATTTGGTTTTCTATTCTACATGTAGACAAGCGCTAAATGGCATTTGGCTACAGCTGCTGTTGAGTTTAAAGAATAGTTATTTGTGTACGATGAGACTAAATTTCCTTTTAAGAGTAATCAAGTCTGTTTTTACTCACAGATTAAACTACTTGATTATGCGAACAACAATAAAACATCTTCAATAACAACAACATAACAGAAAAATCATGATCATCAATAAATAATTTACCTAAGCAATGAAGCGTAATGTCTCAGGCGTAACCATAATATAATAATAAATAACGGAGGAGGTTATTGTAAAAACGCTTATTCATGTAACTTTCGACCGACAGTTGCACGCTATTGGCTCATGAGCGAAAGCACAAACATCTGCTTGTAATGTTATGTGTGTGCGAATTTTACGGAGCTGTGCAAAAATTATCGAAAGCTGGTCCAATACTTATTGTATTACATAGTTTTGTATAGCTGTATCATCGTCTATCATTCGTATTGTACCTATATTTGTCGCGGAGAACCTAACGGGTAACCGGGGCTCCGGCTCGACGTGCAGGAGAAGGAACGGGGTGGTTTTTAGTCAGTAAGAGTCTGACACTCCCTCCCGCTTCACCCAGGCGGGAGCAGTCATTCAATGATTTTCCCCCCTTAAAAAAAAAATTGTACCTATATTTAGACATAGGTAGGCACGAATGGACCGGCTAGACTGAAGTGATATCACGGCCGAGCAGAAAACTGAAGTGAAACAACGATTGCATTGTGTTTCATCGTGTGAGTGAGGTTACCGTAAGGCCCAATCATGCCCCCCCTCCTCAATCTCCCCAATCCCTGCATCCCCCACAATCCTCAAATTACTAATCTCTAAAAGGTCAGTAACACGCTTGTAACGCCTCTGGTGTTTAGAGTATCCATGGGCGACGCCGATTGCTTACCATCATGTGATCCGTCAGCTTGTTTACCGGCTTATACCAGAAAAAGAAATTTTATTAGTATTTTTCGGTACTATTTTCATCACCATTATTCGAAAGTCGAAAGGCGTCTACTGCTGAACAAATACCTTCATTGACTTCCTTGATAGACATGTAGATGATATGTCATACTACTTATATTAAACATATAGTAAAATTATAGTGCTTTGCATTACACACCAAGCAGAGAGGAACAAATTCAGACATCGTGTCATTAAAAATCTCACAAATATTTTGTGGATCCTAGCGGTCAAAAACAGAACCTATTGCTTGGTAGCCATGCTTGCGACAAAGAATACCAACTAATCACTGCTTTTTTAATTAAAATAAAGACTGAATATACACACACACCGTAATATAACCTAACAGAAATCCTCACAGAGAAAATAGACCAATAAAATGCCCTGTAAAACCCACTGCATGTAATCTACAATCCGAATAGATAGAGCCTTAATAAACAAGAGGAAATACGTGATCTTCGTTTTAAAACTTTACATTGTATGTACATTTTGGCACTAAACCAAAGAAACTTTACTTGGTTTTAAAACGTTACTCAGTTAAGAGCTTAATCCGAACTTCCTTTTTTATGGGATTAGTTGGTAAACGAGCAGACGGATCATCTTGATGGTAAACATTCGGCTTCACCCATGGACACCTGAAACACCAGAAACGTTACATACAAGTGCGTAGCCTGGGGCCGTGGGGGATTCGGGGATTGGGGGGGGGGATTAGGTCTCCGATAATCTCACTCACACGACGAAACACAACGCAAGTGTTGTTTGACCTCGGTTTTCTGCTCGGCCGTGGTATCACTCCGATCGAGCCGGCCCATTCGTGCCGAAGCGTGGCTCTCCCACATTTCCCAGTTAAACATAGAAGAAATACGGTAAATAACAATACTGCTAGTAGTTTAACTTTTCCTTGTTGGGTGATTGGTTACAAAATATTTCTATTTGTTTATTATAGACTGATTCAACAGGTATTCTATGATTAACATTAGGAACGGGATATTTAAATGATAAGAAATTAAAAACAAAACTAACAAAACTTATGTTCGAAGCACCATCATTATGGATCAAATAGTTTCAGTTCAAAAACTTATATCAGCTTTCATATTAAAAACACATTTTTAGTAGTTTGAAGGTAAAATTGTTATATTTCATACTCTACGACGATGATCTCCCTTCTCCGTATGTAGTTTTATTACATTTAATTAGACTAAAATATACAGGGAAACAATTATTTAATAGTGACGTGACACACAAGTATCGATATATCCGCAAACAACGTCAATACCGCACCACTTTCGATCATAAACCATACTTAGTTGCGCAATAGTGCGGTGACACAGTATCGATTATGCATGTCCATCGCGACTAAACGCCTCTTAGTTACATCACTAGTATTTACGCGGTAAAAATGGGTTACATGTAATATATGAATATTATTACTTACTGCGGTTTAAGTGTGTGATCTAATAAATTTATTTACCACAACGACTGAAAGAAAATATATTTGCAGCAAAGATATTTTTTTTACTGAATGGATCTGAATGAGATTTCACAGAGAGAAAGATGATGAAACAGAGCATACAGCTACACTGAGATACAGTCTCACAATCAACTGCTATGGCCATTCAAAAGGAACCATCCAATACTGACAATTATTTCCCTATAAATTATACTTCGATTAACCTTTTCCCGATATTAAAATCCCGAGAGATATTTCACTGAGACGCAGGCGAAATCGTTCGTAGAACTAAATCGACAATAAAATCCTTCCGTCATAACGAGAAACATAGAAATTGAAATGAAAATTACCACACAAAACAAGTGATCTAGATTAAACACATTCTAAGCTATCATAGCTAAGCGAAGCACTAAAAACTCAGATTGAAACGATTTTACATTCACTCGTAATAGTTTTCAGAGCAAATCAATATGGTCGGTAAGTAAACAATTAATTTCATTGCTCTATTCACTTCCTGCAAGTCAGGGGATTGCGTCAGACTGCACTGGAGCTACATAACTGTATTATAATATAATTGAGCCTATTTATTTATTGCTTAACGTGTAAGCGTAGCGTGGAGATTTGTCACGATGGAGTAAGAAGACAGAATTTAAAGATAGTTTTTTTTTTAAGGGGGAAAATGGCTGAATGTCTGCTCCCGCCTAGGTGAGGCGGGAGGGGGTGTCAGACTCTTACTGACTAAAAACCATCCCGTTCCTTCTCCTGCACGTCGAGCCGGAGCCCCGGTAACCCGTTAGGTTCTCTGCGACTCCGAATCGGCATCGGCCCTGTTGGGCCCCATCTGTGTTGGTCTGATGGCTCTTTGAGGCGCGCGCGGAGCGCGACGCGCCGTACACTCGGGCGTGGCCTATGGTTGGTAGTTATTTAACGAAGAGCTAAAGATCAAGGACATAATCCAGCTGTATATGAAGACTAGCAGGCTACAGATAAGGTTGCCTCGCGAGTAGATTGCCAAAAGGTACCGACCGAGGTCATGGTACGGAGCAGGAGTAGAAAAAGCGTGGTTGGGTAAAAGTCACTAAGGGTCATTTAATAATGTTCAATTAAAAATAAAACTACTAATTAGAATGACGATGTGCATATCGGCCGTGATGGTATTGTGAAGACACAATTTGAACAGTCGAAAATAGAAACTTTGATAGTTTCTATTTTCGACTCAAAGTCAAAGCATTTATTTCAAATTAACCATAATTTGATACTTATGAAACGTCAACAAATACAAAATATAGTTTGTCAGTCAGTCCGTCAGTGAAGCTA